AATGAAAGATTTCATGGCCATGCATTAAGAATTCGTTCGATTTATTAATTTGTTCCCTCATTTTAGTTAAATCATGGGTTAAGGAACAAAATTAATGAAACATGGACAGTGGCCACAAAATTAGTAAGTCGTTGGAACGAATTAAGTTGTGGGAATGAATAGCCTATCTGTCCTGTGTCCCGCAGCCCTGCAAAGCGCATGATATGAAACAATTATCTGGGGAAATGACTGTTACTACATTTCTATTGCTTTCCAAGTTGAAGAACTTTGTGTTGTTTCTATTTGAATGTACGTTTAAATTTTAAATCACATTAAAAGCTTAATTTGTACATTATGAATGAATGATGATGCATTTATATACCGTCACAGTCACTCATGTTTTGCGCATGAGCCGCGCACAGCCCAAAATTAAATAGCTTAATCGACCATCGATAGCTTTAATCGATTGCATCTCTTATCGACAATTAATCGATCATCGATTAATCGTTGACATCCCTAATATATATATATATAATGTATGTAATGTTAATTATACAAAAGTACGTAACATATGTAATGTTAATTATACAAAAGTACTAAAATCTGTTTCTTACCTTATAATATACTGGCAACCACCTTAAAAACAGTAAATATTAATATATAGCAGGTACACAAAGTGTCATTTACACATAAAAAACCCATCATAGTAACAAACTTTACACTAAAACAATGCAATAGACATTAATTTAACAACAGAAAACTAATTTACAAAAATGTATTCTATAAAAAGCCATAAAATATGTGCGGTTACACAGAGAGACCCATCTGATTGTTATACAGACTTATATTGAGTCCCATTTGTGATTTAAGCGCACACTTCATAGATGCCGATTCTCTTAATCGGATTCTTGCAGCGTCTGCTCAGGCATGCCGAAACATCCGTTATCGGACTGTCTGTGTGTGGCATCGGAGGAGCGAACGACAAGAGAGGAGTCTGTCCCTTTAAGTGGGCATATAATTAGGCAGGAATTCCAGCTGGCTTAGTCACCGCTGTATGGGGAGGATAAAGGGGAAAACCATCGCTCTCAGCCGTTGCAGGGACCACTGGCTCGCTCTATCATTCTGCAAGAATGTGTGTAAAAATCGAGGGGGCAGGGGCGGGGTTGCTGTGGTGATAGCAGGGGTTGCTTCGCGAGGGCAGTGTGGGGTTGTGTGATTTTGGCACAGCTTGTTTAACCAGTAAGATTCCAGGCTTTTGCCCAAACACGTTAGGAATGATCTAACCTTTAGGCATAAGTGATAGCTTCAAGCAAGACTTATCTTTTCTTTTGTTTGTTGCATGCCTTTTGTTTAGGATAGTGGATGCTAATGCTTAATAAAAGCCAATTGCACATTTTCTGTGCTTTTGAAATGCTTTTAAACACAACATGAAGCATAGTTACCGAAATGTAGTGGAATTCCAAGGTAAATGGTATAATCAGCATAAAAACAACAAATAAAGGACCAAAGCTATTTCTAGAAACTAGAATATTATAGAGACTTGTAAGTGTGGATTTTTTTTAATGCTCAAACAGCAACATTACAGACTAACTAAAGTTGAAAAAGCATAATAGGACCGCTTTAATGACAGTGCAAGAAACAAAAAGTTTTCAATGGCAGAAGATGTAACTCGGGGGAGAAGAATTGTTAAATAAATTATGTAATTTTTGTTTTCTTTGTGCATAAAAAGTATTCTCGTAGCTTCGCAAAATTGAAGTTGAGCCACTGATGTCACATAGGTTGTTTTACCGATGTCTTTGCTATGTTTCTGTCTGGGAACGTTTCCGTTGCGTGGCTGTCTATGGAGGGGAGCTCTCAGATTCCATCAAAAATATCTTAATTTGTGTTTTACGGGTTTTGAACGACATGAGGGTGAGTAATTAATGACAGAATGTTCATTTTGGGGTGAACTAACCCTTTAAGTTTGATGTTACAAGGCTTATTTGCTCATAAAAAGATGCAGCCCTTTTAAGTTTCTAGTGACATTTGAATTGGTGTAAACTGAATGACCCACTTTATAGAGAAAATTTCTGTGGATTAGATTAGCACATCCTCTCCACACTATCGCTGTAGTTTGTTTTTAGACCCTTTCATCCGGCTCGATGATGGGTCCAATCCAGCGAGGCTCCTCCACCACATGAACAAGTGCAGGAAGAGGAGTAAACGGAGATCATTTGCATCCGTCTGTTTCTTCCTCTTGTGCGACTGAAGCGTATGAAGGGGAAACTAGGCCTTGCGTGGCGAGAGTTTTCTGCAGATTTACAGGGGAGCAGTGATTCATCCCACACACTCAGTGTCTCATTCATAGAAATGCTAGCGTGATGCTGCTTCCTGTTTCGCACGCTGGCTCGGTTGTAGATTACCCGCAGTCAGAGTGTGATGCCAGTACCGGTGACGTTTTTATTTATTTATTTATTCTTGTCTCTGGCATATTTTGCATAGTTTTTGAAGATTAATCTTCTGAATTTTCCCTAAAATGACCGTAAATGCTAAATGCTTCCTTTCTTTGCGTGATTTCAGATGGAATGATGTTGCGACAAATGTTGACACGTGTCAAAATATTTGTGTTCTGTCAACTCAATTCAACGTTGTTTATTCCTGTCTGTAAGGCGTTCATCTTTGCTTGTGACGCTGATGTGTCCTGTCCTGGAGCAGACAGTTAAGATTCAATCCAGGGCCTCATTACGCTTGTCAGCGCTGTCCCTAATGGCCACAGGTAGCTGGGAGCACCCTGTCGAGCTGTCTTCCTTTCTGTCTCTTCTGGAACACCCGGCCTAACTTGTCCGTTAGCTATAACGAATGATTTACAGTGTGTCACTCATTAAAGGTCGCCGGATATTTCTGTGCTGTAATTGTATGTAAGCCACTAAAAGAAACCAACTCTGAATCTGAATAACTTGTTTTTGACCGTTTTTAATGGAGATTCATTAGACCATGTTTAAATAAAGCATTAATGATTGGACAAAGTGATTTTTACCACAGCTTTGGGGTTTTCTCAGGCAAAACAAGTTGGAGAGTTTTTAAAGGACGGCAGCAGTAGGATAGAAATGATATATTCCATTAATGATTCTTTTAGTAGTTTTAGTACGAAAGAGTTGGACATTTTTATTAAAAACATTAAAACAGTGGTTTCAAATATTGAATAACCATTCAGACTACATGGGTTTATAATGAAGTAAGTCGTCAATGTAGTCAGACATGAGATATTAATGTCTTGTGGTCCTGTGAGTGAGTTTGATTGATTCATTGATTGATTCAAGTGTTTTTGATTCACTACAAAGATTCACTGGGAGCCATTTGTTTGGAATTTAGACTCTGCCGGTCATGTTGGGTTTTATTTGTTTATTATTCACTAACAAAACTTCTCATGAAGAGTCATTTGTCAGGAATCAGGTTACACTGGTATGCATTAGATTCACTTAAAAGAAATGGCTCGCAAGAGTCAATTCTTTGGGATTCGGACTATGCCATTTATCCTGGATGTATTTTTTTATAATGTATTTGCTGTATGTATTTGATTCATTAAAAAGAACTAGCTTATAAGAGTCAACTTTTTGGGATTTAGATTTTGCCTTTATGCTGGATTAATTTAGTCACAAATGAACAAAATAATGAAGCTCCTCATAAGGACATTAAAACATCACTTGTTTAGGAATCAGGCTACACTGCTCGTGCTTTATGTATTTGATCCACTAAAAAGAATTGGCTCATGAGTCATTTGTTTGGGAAATATACTGGCATTCATGCTGTTTTTATATATTTTATATAAGGAGTCATTTGTTTGGTAATTGGGTTACATGCTGAATGTTTGTGATTCACTAAAGAACCAACACATGAGTTATTTGTTTTGGATTTTGGACTATGCCTATTGAACTGTAATTTATTTATTTATTTTATAGTTATAATTATAATTTCTCACAAGGAGTCATTTGTTGGGGAATCAGACTCTGGGCATGCTGAATGTTTTTGATTCACTAAAAAGAACTGTTCCGTAAGAGTAATTTGCTCATGCTGAATGTTGTTCTCTTAACATTTTGGGAACTGTTCAAAGATGGCTCATCCAGTCAGAATTTAGAATTGGAACTATCAGTATTATGCGCATAAATAAGCAGCAAATTTTTATTTCTATTCCATTGCTGCTTCCTTACAGCTTGCACACAATCTCTGTTATGCATAGGAAGCACAACCTGGTAATTAAGGCATGCAATTAAGAAACTCACTCTGGAAGTAGGTGAGAGGGTGGAGGAACTGTTCTCAGCCAGGTAAACAGCCTAATGTCTGAGCCGAGATATTCCCCACGTGAAAGCGAGCAATCATGGCGCTAAGATGGATGTGTGAACAGATATGGCTGCTGTCTTGCTCCAATAATGTCAGAGATTAAAAGAGGATAAGTATGAAGTGTTTTACGGTTTCATCATCAGATAATGTGGACTTAGTGCGGGTTATATATAGCCGAGTAGAGCACACAATGTACCTTCAGGCTTATTAAAGATGGTTCCACATGAAATGAACTAGCAAGGGCAAATAGCACAGATTACTTGGGGTCACCAAATGCAAATTATTAATTGAGTGTCGGTTTTGCAAAATGCAAAACATTGCATTTTTTCAAATAAGATGCTGCACAACTGTATAAACGAAAACATGGATGTCAAAATGTCTTGGTTATATGATTTTTAGTATACAATAGTATACTCATTTAGTATTTTAGTATACAATAATAATATATTTCTGTCATAATTTCTTCGTTAAAACAAACTTTTATATTGTTGATTTGTTGTGAAGATCTTTTAAGTTATGTATTTTAAGGTACTTTTTCCTCAAATGTGCAGTGAGAAGCACATGAAATAACTATCAGAGCAGCTCTGGAGATGACGTTTACGTGGACTGTCCTCATATATTGAGATGGCAAACGTTGAAAACCTCGGAAGGACATTGAATCAAATTTGTGTCAGTGCCCAGCCCAAGTACATACTAACCTGAACATCAACCCTAAAGTCTAATGTGCCATATGAAGCTTATCTAGTAGCATATTTAGTTCAACTTAATGTCTCTTCAGGGCAGTAGGCCAGACAGGTCAGGGATTTTCAGAGAGGCTTAAGGATACATTGAGCCACACATCCTTCTACAGTATGGAGATGTGAAAGAACGTCTCTTGAGATGAGCAGCACCCTCGCTGACCCCTGGCTCAGTGTTGTTGTCTGTCCAGCTCAGAGTGTGTTTACGTGTGTCTGTGTTTAATAGCTCAGCACCTCTCCACTCACCCCTGCTAATGTGCTCACTTGACGGAGTTGTGGACACAGTTGATGGAAAGTTACCGAGTTCACTGTTGCGCACTAGTCGCCCTTTCATCTCTGCAACCGGTTTGAAACTCTAGTCTCTTAACCTCATGCCCTCAGGGCATCAATTAAACCAATGAAGACAAGAAGGTACTTTTTTATGCAACTGTTAAAAGTCAGCATGAAACCAGCATTGACCCCTATTTACCTTAAACACAGTCCTGGTTTTACTGCAATTCATTTATCTGTATGAAGGAAAATACGTTTGTTTTTGTAATCCTCCGTAAAAATTGAATGTTTAGCTCTGTATCTGAAATGACTTTCCTTTTAACTTTTTAATTGATGTCACCTATGCAATGTTAGCTGTTGGTTAGTGTTATCCAAAAAAGGAAAACTAGCCGTTTTAACTTTATTTCAGACTTTTAATTGAATCAAATGTACTTTTTATCGTGGAACATGATTTTGCTTGGAACGATTTATGTATTTGTTGGTTTATGGATTTATGAATACTATGTATTTGTTGTATTTAAAAAGAAGCTTAATTCAAAAGATCTTAATTCAAAAGCAATTCTGTAATTCCAAACAATAATGTACACTCAAAAGAACCACTAAAATAACTGCTAATGTATATTAGGGTCTAGGGATGTAACGGTATGAAAATTTCATATCACGATTATAGTGACCAAAGTTATCACGATTATCAATATTATCACGGTTTTGTTCAAATTAGATGAAAACGTTCTAAAAGAACTGATACACACACTGAAAACATTTCAATAAGTTTTATATTTGAAAATCAACAAACAACTAATACAATTAGCAGCTATATGCACTTTTTTTAGCATAAACATTAAATGAACATTAACATGAAGCCCTAATAATAATAATAATAATACTAATAAATCACTTGAAGATCGTGTGATCTTCGGTTAGGAGATCTTGTGATGCTTTTTAAAGCAAAGTTGGGGTTGATTTCGAGTTCACATACAAACATAAATAGAACGGGGGGGCAGTGCCGCCGTAGGCAAATGACATAACCGGTGTTGCGGCTTAACATCGGTATAACCGAAAACACCGTCTATTGCAGCAAGCCTAATGTATATAAAATTTTATTACAAATGAACTATATTTGTTTTATCAAGTCATTTTATTGCTTTATTTTTATTACTTTTATTTATTAACTAATACATTTTTGCATTTATTTTCAATTTCTACAGGTTTGGTCCTCCGTAAATGTAACCATTAAAGTAGCAGTTCACCCCAAAATGTAAATCTTTTCTTTCTTTCTTTCTTTCTTCATGCATATTTTGAAGAATGTTGTCGAAATTACATTGGACCCTGTTGACTTTTATTGTATGGACAAAAATTTATAATAGAATAGAAGTGCTTGTTTTTTATTATTATTATATCTTTATTTCTTTATTATTGATTCATTTTTCCTTTTAAATTTGTAGTTGAACTATTTTCAGATGTCCTTTTGTTTTAGTTTGGTATCATTGGGTTGGGTAGGATGTGAATGTTATAAAATGTAAAAATGCTTGAATCTGCTGTGTTGTGTTCAGACCGTCATGTTTAGTGTTTACCAGCTCACAATAAAATTAATGCTTTGCATTTGCCTTTGTTGTGATGTTGCACTTGCAACAGTATATTCGTCCATATAGGCCACTGTGTACACTGTACATAATTAGTTGTTCATTTTAAGAAACGCAGTGTCGTGTTGAACAAACACAGGCCACATGCAGCTGTAGCTGATTATATATGGCACATATGACCCTCTGTGCTCTCTCTCTTCCTCTGACTTCTTCCTCTCCAGTTCTCACAGCTGCTTCTGAGCAGGTGCTGCAGGTGCTAAAGTTCCCAGACCGCTCTCTGGCACGGAAAATAGCTGGTCGCTCTGAAGTGGCAAGATATCACAGAGGCTCTGCATAGCAGTGCATGTACTGTAGTTACTAATGTGGTTCGGGTTGAATTAATCACTGTGGTACGTCTGGTCAAAACACAGCAAAGATGCTTCTTGATTCACAGAAGATTTATTCCACTAGCATGTACAAACATGTGGGTGTTTGTGTTTTTTTAGATGCACGCACACGATTAAACACCACTAGAAATGAGGAAAAATCTAGTGCACTCCACACTCTACGGATTTATACCAACAACTGATGATTCTTATGACACACTTTACAGCACATTCTAGCATACTCCGTAATTGCTCAAGGGGGCAGTAACAGTCCACAGTCATTGAATAGTCCAACACATACCAATATAGCTCTATTACCTAAGAGTGTCTGAATACAGAGACCTTTGCAACAGCCGCTCCCAAATTTGCACAATCAAATTTGCTTACTCAGAAGGGCTCAAAACTGTGCCCATGTCTGGGAGTGCTGGTAGCTTAATGAGGCGTGCTACAGGTCTGACATACGTTCTGTCCTTAATGCTAACCTCAGCAGTTCTAATTCGTCCATCAGCACCAGGGAAAACATTAGTAATCCTGCCTACTGGCCAGAGAGCTCTAGGTAACTGTGGGTCCACAATCATGACGATCATGTCTGGGTGCACTGGATCCTTTTTCCTCTGCCATTTACCACGGGTGTGTAGGTTGGGCAGGTAGTACTCTGTGAAGTGCGTCCAGAACTGATCAGCAAGCACTTGAGAGTGCCTCCACCTATGGCGGCTTAAGAGTTCCGTTTCATAATAAACTGTTTGCGGGAGTGATGGGTCTAGCCGCCCCATGAGAAGAAGGTTTGGAGTCACCGGGTTGGGGTCTGCAATGTCTGTGGACACGTAACCCATAGGTTTCGAATTCAGTATTCCTTCTATTTCAATGAGAATGGTGTTCAAGACTTCCTCTGTCATGCTTTGCCCTTGTAAAGTGGCATACAGGGCAGACTTGATAGATCTAATCTCACGTTCCCATACTCCTCCAAAATGGGGACTACTGGGAAGATTGAATCTGAATTGGATTTGCTGTTTGGCAAGCTCTGTCTGCAGGGTAGGACACAATGTTTTGAATGACTCTTGGAGCTCCCATTCTCCCCCTTTAGAGTTTGTGCCTTGATCTGATAGTAACTCAGAAGGTTTTCCTCGGCGGGATATGAAACGTCTTAGAGCCATCAGAAATGAGTCACTATCAAGGCTACTTAAGAGGTCGATGTGGACAGCACGGGTTGTCAGGCATTTAAACAAGATACCCCAACGTTTCTCACCTTGTCTACCTATTTTAACAGTAAAGGGGCCAAAACAGTCCATTCCCGTAGAGAAGAATGTTGGTTTGAATATCTGCAGTCTGGCCTGAGGGAGATCTGCCATCTGAGGGCACTGTTGGTTTAGCTCGCCACCTTTGACAATCAGGGCATGAGTGTTGTTGTCATTTAACTGCCTCTCTGCCACGTAAAATCCAATATTTACGGCGGAGCTCTGCAAAGACCCGTTCCGAACCAGTTTGATGCAGCTCTTTGTCTATGTCCTGAATGAGAAGTTGGATTATTTTGTGGGCTGGATCTAGAACAATTGGATGGACAACATCTGCATCCAATTGTAGACTCAATTGTAGTCTCCCACCAACTCGGATGAGCCCCATTGTGCTGTCATACTCGGGTGCCAACGTTATAAGGTGGCTAGAGGACGGTACTGGTTTACATGCAACTAGACAGTCGAAGTCCTCGAGAAAGCTGTCAATTTGAACTTTCCTTAGAATGTCTCTTTCTGCTGATTGATGATCCTCAGCTGAAGGATCCCCTTTGTTATCTGCCTCCGCATGGTGTAGAAGTGCTGTTGCTTCAGCTAAGGCTTTAAAGCTACTAAACTGTTGTGGGTCAGGCAAGGACTGAACATCAACGACTGTTACGTGACTACAGAAAGTAAGCTTCTTCAATTCAGCAGGATTCTCAGATGTGCTTATGTCAGGGGTAACGGGCCAGGAGCAGGGCGAGTGCCAAAGATAATCTGGTCCTTGTCTCCATGTTTTGTCTGTGGCTAGTTCCTTCAGAGTCTTTCCACGAATAATGTAGTCAGCTGGGTTATTGGTGGATTCCACATACCGCCAGGTGTGTGCACTTGTAAGTTCCTGTATTTCGGCAATTCTGGTGCCCACGAATACTTTGTAATGGCAGGATTCCGACTGAAGCCATGTCAGATCTGTAGTGGAATCAGTCCAGAGTACAAAGGATTCAATGTTCAGAGTAAGCTCATTAGCTAGTAAGGAAGCTAACTGTGCACCTGTAAGAGCTGCACACAGTTCCAGTCGAGGCACAGATAACTGCGCTTAGGGGCTACTCTTGACCTGGCTGTGAGGAAGGCTACCTCAACACTTCCCTTTGGATCCTCTGTGCACAATTATGCTACAGACCCATATGCCCTATCGGAGGCATCACTGAAAATATGTACTTGCCGACTACAGTTAAGGGAATCCAACTGGGAGCTCGCATAGCAGCGTGGCAGTGTGATTTGGCAAAGGTGTTGCAATTCCCTTTGCCAATCATGCCAGGTTTGAAGAATGTCAGTTGGCAGTAATGGGTTGTCCCACTCTCGTTGCTTAGCCCAGAGACTCTGTATAAGGATCTTGGCCCGAGTGATATAGGGAACAAGGAACACGAGTGGGTCGTACTGGCTTGCTACTACCTTGTGTATATATTTCTCATTGTGGGAGTTGGACAGTTGTCGAGGCGGTTTTGGTATCCAAGAGTATCAGACTGACACATCCAACGTAATACTAATGCAAGTTCTTGAGGGTCTGATTCGGTTTGGTTAAGCCAAAGCTCACTGCTTTCTGATCTGGCTTCCTTTGGCAGATGATCGATGACATTAGGAAAGTTGCATGCCCATTGTCATAGTTCAAATCCTCCTTCTGCCAACAGATTCCTCAGTGTGTTCACCAACACTTTAGCCTCATCAGGTGTTGCAACACTCTGTAGACAGATATCTACATAGAAACACCTTTCAAGGGAGTGGCGGACATTGTCTTCTGGCTGACTGTGATCAATTACGTGCTTCTGTAGTGCGTATGTCGCACAACACGGACTGCAGGTAGTACCAAATTGGAGCACTTGCCACTCGTAGATGCGAGGGGGTTCCTCTCTATTCAGATCAGGCCATAAAAATTGGAGGAGGGGCTTATCCTCGGGCAGTAGTCTTACTTGATGGAACATGCCCTTTATATTGCTACTAAAAGCTACAGCGTGCTCCCGGAATCGTAGCAACACACCAAGTAAGGAGGACCCCAGAGCTGGTCCAGGCAGAAGCAGTTTGTTCAGGTTCTTACCTCTGTATAAGAAAGAGCAATTAAAAACAACTCTGTTTTTCCCATTATGGCTCACCATATGGTGGGGAATGAACCATGATTCTTGATCTTTCTCTGTTAGTTTCTGCTCTGGTACTTCAACCACATAACCTGCCTGTTTCAGTCTCTGAATTTCAGCTCGGTAGGCCTCTGACTTTATAAGATCTTTAGCCAGACGAGTCTCAGTGCTGCGCAGATTTGGCATCACTGCTTGCTTTGTAGCATGCAATTTAGGCATGTCCTTAACTCTTAAGAGAGGCGTGGCATAGCGTTGTTTCCCATTGACGTCGATTCGAGTTGTCTTTGCCTCTAACAGGTCGATAGCCTCTTG